TGGCGGAATAATGGAGCGGGGTATTATCATATAATACGTGCTCAGCTCGCATCGCGGGGTCAGCCGCGCGCGGAAGGCTTTGCATGGCAAATGCGTGAATATTCATCGGCGGCCGATCCTCGCCTTCTTAATAGACGTCCGCGAAGTTCCGTATCACTGTCGTCGTCGGCCGCGCCAGTTTGACGAACGTAGGCTCCGTAAGGTGGACTTTATAGATCCGCGGGCGAGATCCGATTGTCCCAATTCGATCGTCGACGTATCGAGACGGAACGGAGATGTTGCACACCAAACGGTACGTATCGATCCACCCCCCCCCCCCGATCGTTTCGCAAACACATGATTATTGTCACAAAGTTCCTCTTTATTTTTCTTCGATCGCGGACGTACAAGTTGTGAAACCGCTCGCTGCGAAATTGTTTCAACCTTGTTTCGAGGCAATTTTCTCATAAATACACAGTCGCGGTCGGTCGACGCGACAACCATAATCTTATCGCGCGGATGCTCATTTCGAAAGTGCGGATATGAGGGCTACGGCGAGTGTGCTGGATATTTTGAAATTTCGATTTTCCGCAATTCGCGAATTGCGGAGAAAACGGACGGAAGGTGTTGGCGAAAGTGAAGATTTCGATCTTAGAATGCTACTTCGCGGAGTTTTTCGCATTCTCAACGCCTTCGGCGAAACTTTGGCTTACTTCGGGCGAATTCCTCGTTTTTCTAAACGCCGTATGAGCAGAGAAGAGAGAACACATGAAACGGTACCTCATATAGAATCGCCGTGAAAAAGTGGCACGGATTTCTTTCTCGCGTCGTTTATTCGTGACGAACTTTAAACACTGAATGCTCTTCGAAACAACCCGGTTACCGAGCCTTTGTTGGAACAGTCGGCTTACGGTAGCGTGCAATTTCGAAAATCTCGCTCGTCTCTCTTTGCGAGGGAAGCGATCTGAAGGTCTGTGTTTTTTTACAGAAAAAATTTAAAAAATGACTGGTTTTGCGGAAACAATTTTTGGTTCGCATGAGAAATATTTTTTTTTTCGATGAATTGCCGTAAAACTTATAGCGCGCAAATAATAAATCTTTCATATAAGAACGAGGCCTTCACTCAGACGAAATTAAAACGTGAAACCAGTTTTATTTTTGCATATAATATAGCACATTGCTTCACTGGCGGATAATAAATTATATTATCGCAGCTGAGATTATTTACATCGCCTGTTGAGTGGCTCCAATGTATGTAATATCAATAATATGATAGATTATTTGCATGTAACGGGACTTTGATTTTTATGTTTCTTAATTGTTGCTTCTTTTTGATAACGCTGCGCGATTTCCGAAATTCTGCTCCCGGTTATCATCGGAAAGTGCATTGCAGAGTTCTATTGCTCGTATTATCGCTGTATCTCTGTTTACAATTGATAAAACTTACTCTTTAAAGTTTCAAGAGTACCGCACGCGCGCGCGCGCGCGCGCGCGTCACAATGATAACACGCTTATCTTAGGTTTTGTGATCACACTGAAATCTCGACTGACTGAAATTACAATCAGATTTAATTGTGTCGGAATGTTCGATAGATAACTGCGACACCTGAGAAACGTTCAATAAATTGAATTAATAATTTGAGGAATTTTACGATGTTGAAGTTTGGAAATTGACAGAAGCTTTAAATAATTATTAACAAAGGTCACTTCGAGAATTAAATTTCACTTTCAAGGATTAAGTTTGGCCGCAATGTCGGTCGATTAAGATTTCGATAAAATCCAGTAAATCGAGCCTTGCGATTATTTACGAACAGAATAAAACCGACATCGTACGATTTTCTCTATCCTAAATTGAATCCATCGAGCGTGCACTAATTTCGAGCTCCTAATCTCAAGAGCTGAAGATCGGTGACGCATGCTCGATGAACGTTACGAATGTATGTTCCGATTTCTCCGTCGACGAGAGATCGTCGATTTCGGACGTTCCTCTTTCGCTGGACCGGGTCCGCAAGTGGGACAGAGCGGGTCTATAGTTATAAGTGGAACGCTACAGGGCGACTATTTTTAGCCCGTCACCTGAGACACCTCGCTCAATTTCGTTGGACGCGCGTCCTTAATCGATTTTAACGCTAGAGAAAAAAACAAGGGCTCGTTACTCTCCTCGTGCGTGTGCTTGCTCTTCGTCCCTTTTTTTAAAACACCGCACAAAGGCGCACACATACACACACATGCGTCGCATGCATCGGGCACGTCGCGGGAACTGTCGCCTCTTAAAAAGTAATTAACAAATAATAAATAAATAAAACATGTGCATAACAGCATATCGCGTCACTAAATGTTAGAGAATTTTTAATGCCGTCGCTCGCTTTCGGATATGCATAAACGAGAGCGATTTGCAATTCAAGTTCTTGACGCAAACGCAAATTAATTATAATGAAAATATACTTTGAATTTTGTTCCTCGCTGCACAAGCGAAAACACGGCGCGTAGCGCCTCGACCTTTACATGATAAGTGGTTCTTGCAATTCGCCCTGTCGATGCATTCGCAATAAGTTTCCGTTTCGTGTGTCGAAGTCGAGTGATTAACATACAAAGCGTTTTTATGAATCCGACCGGGGGATATGCGTGCACAGTTCAATGTTCATGCGCGGACTTGGACTTTATTGCGAATTTCAGCAACGGTCGTGAATTAATGCATAATCACAATCAGAAGTCCGCGAGATAAGTTCTGCACTTATGCAACTAATGACTAATCAAGACTATTTTAAGACACGCGCGCTACTGATGATCTGCGCCTGCTAACGAAGCAGACTCGTTGCCTCCATCTCTCTTTTTTTTATGAATTCACGATAAGAATAATAATAAACAGTTGTTTACAAAAATGTCGACGAACTCATCGGAAATGCTTTTGTATCTTTTATACGCATCGGTAGATATCGATCTTCGATAAAATCCGCCTTTCGCATGATCGAAGATGAAAGCAGACAAGATTTGCATTTAAAGAGATAATAGACTACGCTTCACTCAAAAAAATATTTTGCTGATGTAGTTAGATTTCTAGATATCGCAACAAGAATGTATCGCTATTTTTCGTATCTGTGAAAACATTGTTTGTCACATACAGAATTTATAGCAGTAATGTTCTAGCAATAGCTTCTGAAAAATTTAGGTACCATTGCTAAATGTTATTCATTGCATGATCTAACACGTGATTGATCTTATATAGATAGGCGCTTTAGAGAAACTTTCTTTTTAAAGTTCACAAACAATACAGATATATATTCTGTTTCTGTCATCTAAACTGATTAAGTAATTACATATGCAATATCACAACAGTTGCTAATCATTTATCTGTTTTAGTTAATTTTTTACACCTAGAAAATTTTAGCTATTATTGCAAGATCATTTTTTTGAGTGTTGCACTTTCAGAAATACGCGGTGACTTGTATTGAAACTTTTGTAAATCTTTTTGCCGCGACGAATCCGGATTCCTATTAAGACAATGAATAAATTATGTTTTTTATATATATTTATGTCAACGTGGCATTGAAGACATCAATACGTCGACATGCGACAAAAGCTCGATGAATAAAAAAATTTATTGAGATGTATTCGTTTTTTATCAGAAAATTATTTACACATAATTGTATAAATGTATTTACACATAACTGTGTAAATGTATATAAATATGTAATAATGTAAATTTATTACTGTTTTTTTGCAAACGTCATTTTTAGTTATGTAGATTTTAGATTTGTTACGTTGTTTTCATGTTGCCACTTAAAATAGATACACAAATGACATTGTTTATGGAATGATTGAATATTTATTAATATTGCCTTATAATCGGTTGCAAAATATTCGCTGTTTTAATCTTATCAATTTGACATAATGAGAGCAATGTTAATTATGCAACCGATATCGCACGAGTCACACATATCTCGAGAACGTCCGCGTAATCGCGCGGAAGAACATTTCCGAGTATATTATTGTTATTGTTATTATTTTCATAATTCGATGTTGTTTTTAATGCGCGACGAGGTGAGCTCCATTGAAAATCGATTGCAGAATAAATTTCTTATCGATTCATTTTTAAAACGTCTCTGAAACGTCGAATTCTTTTAATTCGCGCCAGGAAAATAGAATACCAATTTAATTTTGGGATTAATAATTAACAAGAGCGGTTTTACGCAGTGACTTTGAACGACGATCTAGTTAATTTAAGTAGATATATACATTATTGTAATGAGTGGAAAATATTAGCATTTCTTAAAGCTAAAGCTACTGCGAAGTAGCATGAGAATCGAAGGTAGGGGCACTGTCGGATGTTCCTTTTAAAGTGCCATCTACGCACTTGATGACGTTGCATCACATACGCTCATTACGCCACGATTTGTCGGGCGGGGGACGCATACAAATCAATAGGTTTGAGAAATCTTCAATTCTCCTCTTTTTTTTTTTACCGCAATATGCTGAAGCGAGACGCCGAGTAATATTTGTAATGTATTCGCCACTGACAATTAGCCGTCTCGAGCAAAGATCAATCTATTCGTTCACTTACAAAATATTTCGCACGTTTTAATCTGAAAGGCAGTCTAGAATAGCAGACTGAAAGCATGATAAGTGTGGTCAAGTTAAACATGAAACGTGTAGTTAAAATAAATTATTGCTCGATGAATTATTAACAATCACTATTTTTTTCCTCAAGCATTTGAATCTTTTAAAAACGCGCTTATCTCTTGGCTAATAAAGAAATTAGTATTTTGTGTCTGATGCATCTTTAGATGTCGATACATAAATCTTGATAAAACGCACTTTTAAAAAAAGTTTTAATTAGCCTCCGTTTGTGGCAGAAAGAGGAAAAGTATAGACTGCAATGACCTCCCTTTATCAACTTTTACTCCGCACAAAGCTCATTAAAGTGCAATTTTCTCCCCTGCGTGAGGGTTTGAAATGCAGATTGCACGTCGCAGGCGTCACGCGAAAAATGCATTAGGCTAAAAGAAGACTTTCGATTGCAGGAGTTTGCGGAGGATCGCTCGGCACGACGAGCCGGAATTCAGCAACGCCAGCATCCTGAACAGCATGGAGAAGTTCGTGCGCACCGTGAGCGAGATGGAGGACACGATTCTGGTGCCGAGCCGTCTGCTGGATCTCTCCGTGGGCGACGCCGGCGACACGGTCTGCATGAAGGGCAAGCGCGGCTACACGGCGAAGGACACTCTGGCCAACACCGACCTGTACCGCCTCTACAACATCATCAATCAGATGAAGATTGAACTGCTGTGGTCGCAGGAGCCCACGCGCATCGAGCCCGACGATCAAATGCCGCTCAAGGGCCATCCGATCGGCAGTCCAGAACTGGCGCATCACCATCCGGCGAGACTGGGTCACGTGCGCTGCCCGAGCACCACGTCGATGCAGAGCGTGCAGAGCGCGTCCTCGATCGTCTCCACGTCGGACTCGGACTCCGAGGTCGGTATCGAGATCGACAGCGGTCTTGAGGGCGAGGAGTGCGCCGATCTGGCGAGCATCGCCGCGGAGAACTTTCGCCGTCACTTGCGCGGCCTTCATCGCAGCATCGCCCGTATGACGGAGGCCGCCGAGTACCTGACGCTGCGATATCAGGCTGACGTCGGCGGACAAGTCTGATTCGTCGCCGTCGCCGTCGCCGTCGCCGCCGCTGCTGCCTTTATTGTCGTCATCGTCACTGTCGTCGAATTGATTCTCATTGGCATCGCGAGTAGATTCCGCGTTCTCGCCCCGTTATTGGCCTGGCGGGTGCTCTCGCGACTCCTTCCTTCGCACCGGCGCTTCGGGAAGCGTCCGGTGTCGCGCAGTTTCCGTCAACGAGTCAGCGCGGTATCAATCCGTCGTTTTACCGCGCGATTCGCTGCGGGAGAAGTATGCTTGTTGTCCATGTGCGACCCGCTTATAAAGACAATAATGTTATCTTTTAATAATGTATTCAAGAAGCGCAATATGAGACGAGTAATTTATCGGTTAGGCGGAATTGTTGAGAAATGAGTTATCAGTTCTAAAAACGGAATTGAGACTACGAGATAAGATATCTGTTATTTTTTAATGATGAAATAGCGTTTAGTTTCTCTTCTGTTTTTAACTTTTGTAACTTATGCAAGAAAAGATAGAAATGTGAAATATTATTTTGCCGCACACATGGAGCATACTTGCGATTCTAATAGAATTAGGGGTACACCGTGTACCGTTAACGTCGATTAGAAATTATGACGAAGACGAATGTAAAACAAAAGTATCGTACGCGATAAATATACACATAAACGTGAGAAACGCGCATCAGTTTAGCTTATTCTCACTTGCGTTTTCTCGTACAATTTTCTTTCGATGAAGCATAACGCTGTTGAGAACGACATTTTCTTTTATGCCATTTTTTGCATTTAAAATTATATTAAATCACTTGTTTTAATTTATTTTGAAAATATAGGTTTTCCACTTAACAAGACGATCAACAAGATGTTAGATGCAAAACGATTAGTAAAAATACGTATCAAAATTAGTAGTATTTTATTAATACTATTTTCAACTATTAATATTTTCTATCTTATGAAAATATCAAAAGGTAACTTTTTGTGTGATTGCAATTTATCAGATTTCAAGATATGGAGATATGTAATATCATAATATAAAGCAGATTCTACAATAAATAAACTAGAAGATATGTCTGTCGATGAGGTACGAAATATAAAATATCGTTAAATATTAGAACATTTTTAAAAGCTATTTGTTAATTGCAGAGAGAAATGTCGGAATTATAACACACTAAGAAATAGTGTACATTATTACCAGATATTGTTTTACAGCGATATATGTGATTTATTGTACCATAAGTCATTCGTGACCAATAATCTGTAATCAAATCACCATATAACAGTTCTGAATTATTGTAAATATTGCTACATCGAAAGAACGAGTGCATTTTGAACATCGCGGCTGAGTAAGGTTGTACAAATTATATGTCTTGTAATTCGTGTAAAATTGCGATAAGGAATTGCGTTAGCTTTTGCAAAATTTCTGTTTCTTGCTTATCGTTGACGTCGAATTGTATCCGATATCACAGCGGCGATTGACATTAGTGTGTAAATATATACGTAGCTTTATGATTATTTATTTCTACGACTGTAAAGTTAAGAGGTATTTTTTAAGTTGCGCGAGTTGTGAATGTACCGGTCAGTTGTAAGGGAAAAAAAAAAGGAACAATTGGCACACGTTCCCCAAGCCAAAAGAATCTGGAATACCGGAAACTCATGACTTTCGTTTAGCGTGTACATAAAGCCGGCGAGATGCTTTCCCGACGCATTCACGTCATCGAAATCCTCATTCGTATATACTGTGAATCTTGCGTATCGGATTTGTATAGTCTGCGGATGAGAGTTTCTTAAGCAAATAAAAATTGTAGAAAAAGGTGAAAGGAAAAAAAAAACGCTAGCAGACGAATATTATTATTATAATGATTTCTGAAATCAATTATTTACCAAATTATTTATTAAATTAACATAGTGGAAATATTATTTTTAATAAATGGTATAATATGCAATAAGAGAGTACATTTTTCTATATTTCGACACGATATATTAGCGTATTCTACTTCGTATATACAATCTGTTGAGAATCTTTATACGAGAAACGAGTGGCACGAAGTATAATTTGTATTTTTTTTTTTTTTTTTGTATATATTTTATGTATTGTATATATAAAAATTTATAGAATAAATTATAGTCGTAGTATATACGGTGCCATACGATGCTAAAATTTTGTTGCATTCATGAGCCGCGCAAAATTATGGAAATCTTAAACGTTTGATAAAAACAATCTTGGTTAAACGACAACCTTTAGGAAACTATATCGCAAAATTTGAAACTTTTTCAAAATGTTAATGCACGAGAGCGTTCTTCAAAAGATGGTTTTGAAACATTTAAGTTTTTCATGATTACACAATTGACTTGCTAAGCGCAGACAATTTATTTATAAGGATAATTTTGTGCTCATTCCATATCGTAAATTATATAATTTTATGATTCTTCTTCTAAGATCACATCACGTAGATCAGGAATTCTCAAACAGTGGCATAAGCGCATACAAGCGTGTCTGTTACTATTGATGTACTCTAAAAAGGGTAAAAATCTGCTAAATTATTAGAGTACAGAAATAACAGTTAAGCGTTAATATTTATTAATGCCACGCTTAATACATTGAATGCGTTGAAATGTATTAATTATTTCAATACGAGCATTTGAGCATCCCTGAACTTGTGTAAATTATGATTACTTACAATAAAACGTGATACGTGTATTGTAGTAACGTAATCATTAGATTGCAAATGCGATACTGCGTTGATGATCCATTCTTTGTGGAATCACGATTGTTACTAAAGAAAATTAGCGATTAGTTAGATGTTTCTTGATAAGGAGTCGTTCGAATTTCTCAAGTTAAATGTTATTTTACCAAATAGCGCTTTATAATTGCTTATACGTATATATTGAAAATGTGCGTCTAATTATTTTGATATCGTTTAGTTCCACACATACTTGCGCCAGAATTAGGTGGTAAAAATTGCCTTATACCTTAACTCTATATTGCAATAGATATAACGTTGTGCTAGAAATGCTCAATTTTAATGAAACATACGTAATCTCAGTAGATCCGACTCTGAGATGTAGATTAACAGATCGATTGTAATCTGGATCCTTGAGATATGCGATGTTTGTAAAACGTATGTGCACTTGTATAATCTTGTAACTGTAATAAATTAATTACTTCCATGCCCACTGTTTTCATTCTTATATCTGATTGTGAGTAATTAAAAATTAATGATATACTTAAGAATTATCACTGGGAAAAGTCAATTTTGCAAATTTAGGATTTTAATCAATCATAATATTTTCGACAATTTAAAATTTATATTTTTAAACACACCCCCAAAAAGCAACATTTTAGCAGAATGAGGTAATGATTTTACAAGCATTTTTTGTTCAGACATTTTTAATACGTTTAATGTTATATGCATATGGATATTGTGTATTATACAGATTACTTTCCTACGCCCAAATTACTTGAGTACGCTTTTTGCGTTTTTACCGACTGCACTAGTCGGTACACTTACCATCAGTGCAATATGAAAGAACTCCTATATCATCATGTGCTCCTGTTAACATTACTTTAAAATCCCGGATAAATGGAGCATTTGGGCCGTTTTCAACGGATAACCATAACCTTTCTGCATGCTTATTTTCACATCTGGGCTACTTTTGACAGTGTTGGGATGCTTGTAAAACACTTAAATAATTAAAATGTCTCTTTTAAAATTTTTGGTAAGTTAGGACGTTTTTAGGATGTCCTAAAGATGTCTTATTTAAGACGTCTTTTTTTTTAAACGTCTTTATATTTATTATATATATAATATAACTATATAACATATATAGTTAGCTTGACTAGAACGAGAAACAGTTAATTGCCGGTTGCTGTTAGGAATGAGTTCAGGAGGATGTGTAATTTCCGTGTTTTTCAGAGATGACTTTTGAAGATCAGAGGGTGTCGTACCCAGACGACAGCATGGTGCCGCCCCCACAACCATTCATCCATCGCCATATTGCATCTGTTGCTAGTTGCTATTGAACCTGCTGACGGCCAAGTGGCTGGGGTGAATAGTTTGTTGAAAATGTGATATTTACAAGTATGAATATGTGATACTACTGCAGTCTCGTTACGAATTTGACATCGTGGACGATGTTCTTACACGATTGTCGCTTCATTGTCAGATAATAAGAAATATGTATGGACAAGCCGCAAGTAACTGGGCCGTCGGCCTGTATTCTCTCTTTGATCCAACGAATTTTTTGCCTTTTCTGCCGAATTTATGGAATAAACAAGCCATCGGCTCGCGTTATTCAAACGACACAAAAATACGAGACACCGATGTGCTCGTGGGATATCTTATTCTGTTCTGGGTTCTGCTGTATTTCTTCTACGAAAAGTGTCTTAACGTGAGTTTGACAGATAAATATTACATTTGATCAATGTCTAATTTAAGTGTTTTATATTGATATTTTATGTTCAACACAGTCTCTATTCAGGCGTATGCGCTTCCTGCTGATTCAACGAAGCAGGATAATCAAGGCAGCTTGGAACTGTGGATTCTGTTTCGGTAGTATATGCTACATGAAGTCATCGGCTATGCAAATCTTGAGCTTTGCATCCCATGCACAGGGAATGACATATCAGGAATTAGGTTTTGCACTGCATAAGAGCTTCTACCTTCATCAAGCAGGAATTGATATATTGTGCCATGGTGCTTGGATAAAGGGCTGTGGAAACTTACTCTTTGCTTCGTTTATTTTGACTCCTTATCAACAAAAGTAATTATAACTGTTTGTTGTCTTATTGTATAAAGTTGTCTTTAATTACTTATTTTTCCATATGGCTTTTATTTTATTCATCTTCTTTCTTTACTTCCTGAATCATTCATAGTAATTTTTTGATAAGTTTTTAACTTTTTTCTATTTCCAATTTGACATTATTTTGCTGCCATTGTTAATATTATATGCGTTTGTGTGATTTTACTAATATATGTATGTGTTTTACAATTATAGGTGGTGTACAGTGACGAATACTTTCCTGATGTATAAAACTATTGACATTGTGATAGTTAATGTTTGTAGAATCTTGTTATGCATTTTTCAAACTATTGGAAGACCAATCTGCAAACTGTTATTCTTACAACATTGTCTTACTTGGTAAGTGCACATTATATTCCCTAAAATCAATTTGTCATCATTCTCTCTTAAAAAAGACATCTTATTAATATCTGAATAGTATTGAAGTTTATTGTGCACATTAATGTATATTTTATTAATTTTTTTGCCTTAGAATCTTATATTATAACATTTGGTAGGCCTAGAATCTTATTGCAAAGCATTGAAATCTTATATTTTAAAATTCTACACCATTTCTTTCTTCAAAATATAAGAAAATGTACATTTTTAAATTCTAACAAATGTTGTGATATAATATTATAAAATATAAAAGTGAATAAAATATATATTAATGTTAAAATGTTTTAGTGTAATATAAATTACATATATATTTACTTTCAGGATATATCTGTACTTATATTATGTGCCTACTTTTATGCTTTGGTCAAAAGAAGTTAATTATACGAAGGTAGAACCTGGGGTATGGCTTTGGTTTGCAATCGAGTGCTTAGATTCGGTAATATTCTACATTTTTTATTTAAATAAGTATTGAAAAAAGGAACTATTGTTCTAATAATTCATACTTTTCATTTAATTAGGTATGGTTAAGACTTATTGGACATGTGAAAGCTACACACTGGCTCGAAATTTGCCTATTTCCACCTCCTACGCAAGAAGCCATTGAATTAGCAGGTATTCATAAAAGACATAAAGAATCGTTGAGAAAATATAATATCAGAACAGCAAAGAAAGTGGAATTGTGGCAAACGTTAGTTTGTAAGTACATATCATCCTTTTATTTGAATTTTGAATTGAATTAATTTCATATAATTTGAGTTACATAAATGAAACTGTATATTACATAAACAGGCGCAATGGCTATTAAGAAAAAAATTAAAAGAATTCGTGAAGCAAAAATCAATGCAGATGTATCGATAAAAGATTCTGAAGAAAGCGAATTGCTTCAGATGCATGTGAAGAATGAGGAACAGATAGCTGGGATTAGTGAAGGATTAATGAATTTGTACTGAAATAGCTGTGAAAAAGTAACATTTGCAGAGCAAATGTGTTAACGATAAAAACACACGAGTCTTTTTTAGATAAATTTATAGGATTTAAGAAAACGATAGATTTTATTATTATGATGTTTAAAACATCGAATGTGTAGCTTTGTTTTAACTAAATGGTTTCACCGTAATGGTGATGCACATTATTTGCAAAGATTATTCACTCTATTGAGATCCACGTAATTCTATTTGTATATAATTGTAAATTAACGGTACAACGAGCGAAGCAAATATGTTGCGGCGCAGTGAAAACTATTAGGAATAATGCAAAAGACTACATTACAGTTATACAACACTTTAGTTTACTCGAGAGTTTCGTATATGTACACTTATGTGGAAAATTCGTTTATAATTTAGCGGAACTCAACAATAGTTAGCTGGATGCTCTGGTAAGTTTGCCATTAGATCAGATTGTTGTGAAATTGTTATTTATTGTTAATTGCCTTGTTGCTCATCAATACTTTAAGCATTTAAAGCATTTATGCTAATCATGACATAGATTTAAAATACAATATCTGTTGAGTATTATTATATGAATTGAATATATTTTTTGTGCGATTGCGCATAAATTTAAAGAACGAAATTGCATTTGCGAAGCAGTAGAGCTATACACATATATTTAATGTTACATTGTTATATAAATATGAAATTCGTGCAGTTTGTACTTGCGTCGATGTAAATCAAATGGAATTGTTAATAATTTGCAGTGACAAATCGGTAATCCTTAAGATACACAAGTTTGATAATGGATGGTGGATTTGATACTGCTCATACTTGTTTTATGGCAGTAAATAGAGAATGTGATATACAGTAAAACAGATTGCATTACTGTGCATTTATTTGAGCACAAACCATATATTATCAGTAACGATTTCAGTGGCAATGCTACTGATGTACTGAATTTTGACAAGAGTTCCGCGCTTAAAATCAGCAGCAGAAACTCAAGTATCCTTGAAAGTGGAATATTGCTTGGTTTTACTTCTCTTTAATTACATCAAAAGAGCCATATATTTGAATAGCGCGTTACGCCTTTTAAATACACGTGTGCAGTGTCCGTCGCTCCTGGATGATGCAAATATTTGTCTTGTTGTATTTAAACTGTTAGTAAGTATGTTATGTGAAAAAGACAAATTGGTAAGTATATATTACAAATAAGAGAAGATATTGCAATTTACACAGAAACTTGTGTCAACTATTACTGCACTTATATTTCGGTAAGGTGTATTAATCATTTTCATTACTTTTACGCGCGTATACAGTGACTTATGCACTATGTCTATTAAATAAAATAAAAAATTACGGGTGAAACATTTGTAAAATTCACGCAGTTGTGGAAAAAGGTTGTCGCTAGAGTGACAATAGCGCTTTCTCTTTTCACTTCTTTCTCTCTCCATCTGGACAACAATACACAATTAATGTAATTAACGATTTTTACTTCGGAAATAGATTCATAAACTTCGAAGAAACTCTGTACGCTTTGACGTTGAGTAATCTAGAAATAATTGAATTAAACCTTATATCATTTAAATGTTGATGAAATCATATTATGCATTGCATATTGCAAAACATTGTTAACAAAACTTATAAATTCCATCATTATTTATAATACGTGCATTTAGTTACGCCAATATAATCTAAACGGGGTTCTTTTGTACTACATGGAAATGTACAAAGTATCAAACTTGGCAGTCGACTCTCCCATTACATTCGTCTCACTAATAACGAATTATTCGTCGTAATTTTTTTATTGATTCCTTTTTTTTATTTGGCAAGAATTCATTTAATACCTTTATCGACCTGATGAAATAAATGCAATTGCGAGAGTTACTTCTGTAACAAACGTATACATTATGATATATGTACAGTTTTTCTTTTAGATCTAATATCACTTTATTCTTCACTCTTTTTTTTTCTTTTTTAGTTTAATAGAACATTTGATTTTTTCTTTATTTTTATAATGTAAAACAAATTTTCAATTTATTTTAATATGTAATGTGCCGCCGGCATTAGCTTAAAATTCGTATCCGACTGGCGATTGTGATTAATTGGAGATTAGAAGTAGATCGATTAGGTGAATCAGAATCTTGGTCCATTTTGTCCGATACGAATCTTACCCAAGGTGTACCACGGGGAGGTTGCACGGTCGGACTTACACCTCGCGCGTGTGTTGTTCGTGTGTATGATAAACGGGAGTCGGACTCATTTGTCGATTCTAATGTTAAATATTATACATGAATATAATAACAAAATATACATAGATCTATTTCATATATATACAGGGTGTCTGGCAATAATCGCCCCACCGGTCATATACAGGTAGAGGAGGTCAAATCGAGTAGAAAAGTCCTTTACCATTTTTTAATTTTCATAATAAGTACTGAGTAATTAACGAAAAAAGATCGGCGAATCCGCGCGAGTAAAGCGCGCGCGGTGAGAAGGACGTCCCACTGCTACGCGATCACTAGGACACAAGGATCTAGCGTTACGCGCCGCTCGTATGTTGCCATTGTCATTTGTAGAGCGCTCCTCCCAACGCTTCATCGCGCGCCTAGTGATCGCATAGCAGTGGGATGTCCTTCTCGCTGCGCGCGCTTTACTTGCACGGATTCACCAATCTTTTTTCGTTAATTACTTAGTACTTATTACAAAAATCAAAAAATGGTAAAGGACTTTTCTCCTCGATTTGATCTTCTCTACCTGTATATGACCGGTGGGGCGATTATTGCCAGACACCCTGTATATTTAGTATCGGAATTAGTTTTGTCCTCTTAGTCGAAAAATATTTGTCTGTACCTTTAACATGTCCCCATTTTATTTCTTTTCCAAATCCTTGTTTCCTCCTTTTGTAAAGTTCATTTTTTCACGTAAAAG